GTGTGTGTGTGTGTGTGTGTGTGTGTGTGTGTTGGTGTGTGTGAAGCTGCTGTTTTCAGCGGAGCATGAGGCTGAGAGACATTTCCACCTTTACATGTCTTTAATAAATGTAAACACAGAGGAACTGATGAGTTTGGTAGAACTTAGAAAAATATTTATTAAGTAGTTGAAGTGAAGGAAGGAGTGACTCGCTGCGCTGCAAGTTCCTGTCGCGGTGTGGGACTGGGAACAGCTGACAGCTCATCCATACGCACAACTTTACGCAGCAAATATTGTGTCTTGTGGAGCAGAGGAATCATCACAGCTGACCTGTTCTGAATTAATATTATGAGTTGACAATGTTTTTTCTCAGTTAGAATTAAAAATGTTTCTTAGACATTTCACACATTTTATTTCCCTCAGCTGTGTGTGCGCGCCGCAGGCCTGCGATCTGCGTGTGTCAAAAATTTTTGTTTAATTTTAATTGTTTAAACTCGAACTATCATGAAACTGAACCCCGGAACTGAAAATCATTTAACCTCAGACAAGAAAATAGATCAGCCTAAAAATGATCAAAGAACCTCCAGTCTACTGTAAACTGTAAAGTTTTTATATTTTTGTCACATATGGAAACACACGCAGAGCGCAGGCCTGCGGAGCGCACACACAGCTGAGGGAAATAAAATGTGTGAAATGTCTAAGAAACATTTTTTATTCTAACTGAGAAAAAAATATTTTCAACTCAGAATATTAATTCAGAACAGGTCAGCTGTGATGATTCCTCAGCTCCACAAGACGCAATATTTGCTGAGTAAAGTTGTGCATATGTAACAGCTGCCAGCTGTTCCCAGTCCCACACCGTGGCAGGAACTCGCAGCGCAGACGCTCCTTACATCCAGAAAACAGAACAGAGTCATATTTCTGTGGATTCAGGTCTGATTTGTGACTTTGTGGGTTAAAATTGTCGACTGAAAAACTTTGCTGGGCTGCCGCACATTCTCACGGCAGGTGAAAAGTGTGCGTAAATATACGCACACTTTCACGCAATGTTGGTTTTAATACATCCCAACATGGGCGTAAAACCTGGCACACACAACTTGTTTATGTGTAAGCACCGTTTAAACATGAGGTCCCGGGAGACACACTTCAGCCAAACCTCAGCGAAATCAGAATCTTAAATCAGAATCAACCACAGCAGGCACGCCGCGGGAGAAGGGCGGATGCGTCATACCACGCAAAGCATTGTGGGAGGTGTCTCTTTATTTTTAGTTTAAATTGTTTATTCAATTAATTTAAAACCAAAAATTTTATGCACATTAAAAACAAAAGATATACACAACATATATGTATATACACACACACAAGAAAAAATATATAAATATATACAATTTCAGAACCGTCACGCAGAACAGTTAATCACAGGATAAAGCCCTGTGTTATTTCTCCACACGCCAGAGAGGGCGGTGTTTCAATACTGTGTTTCCTCATGGTGTTGGTAACTGACACCAAGCCCTCTCTGCTATTCAACAAAATAACYAAATCTTWAGGGAATTATCTTTACTATAATACCAGATGATGTTCTGCCCATTTTAAATGATAAGCCACACCTTCTGCTGTTCAAGGTGACGAAGACTCGTAGATAATTAGTTATTAGCGGTACTGCGTTTTAATTTTAGAAAGCGCAAATCCACTTATGAATTACAAAAATTAGTAAGACTGCTAAAGCGCAAATGACATATTTAGGTTCGCATTTAGCGAATTTGCACTTTAGCGGACTGGTGCCCACCACTGGGCATACGAACAAGTTTTTGCATAAGGCCCAATGTTCTTTAGTTTTCACATACATGTGGACCCGCTCTTATGTCCCACACAAGCATTTCCACTTTTTGAGTTTTTTATTGTATAGAAAAGTTTAATCAGAACAAATTGATTATAACATTTTACTTTGCTTTAATAAATTTATATTTTCTCTTCTTTTTTCAGTACAAACGTTCTCAGCATTTTATAATGCATGTCAGTAATCATGAAGCACTTGAGTTAAATCTGGTTAAATGCACGAGGCTTCATGAACATGAAACCAAATGAAATGAAGAACTATCAGAGGGCCAAAATAAAAATCTATTTGATAGCCACGGGCCAAATGCAACAATAACACATAAAATACAAATACTTTTTAATAAAGTCCTTTTATTTATTCATWTTTTATGAATAAGTAAGCAGCCTGTGCAGTGGCTCGTGTTATATTTGTTTGTCTTTTTAGCCCGTGCACTTGGAGATACTGCTCGGGCAGCAAAGGCTCATGGGACATTTCATAAATATATAAAATATGAGTATTTGTGGGTTTCTCAAGTGTGCTTAAATCTAATCTAAATGTCTCATGTAATTCCTTGTATTTCATGTTTAATCTGAATATAATTCAAAAATAAAGTATTTACCATGCGTGAAGACTGGCCCACTGACTATATAAGGGCCTGTAGTTTAATGGGTGGAATGACTGTAAGTGTTAATAAACAGGATGACAGGAAATTACCATCTAGTAACCAGGGAGACTGCTGGTGGGCCAATTTTGGCCTGCGGGCCCCACTTTGGACACCTTTGCCCATCAGACTTTGGCTGGTCTGTTTGTAGCCCAAAGCTTTTAAGAAATCACCTTAGRGATATCAAAATACATTTAATTTTTGTTAACTGTTATTTTTGCCATTTTTATTAAGTGAACTGAAGAAATGGAAAAAGAAAATGAAGTCAAACAGATTTTAAAATATATTTTATCATTTTTCTTTGATTTTCCTGTAAATCTAAAACGTCCTCACCCTCAGGAAGACTTCCTGCTCCTCACAGGCCAGGGTCCTGTCATTGTTCACTGTTGTGTTCTTAGTGTACTGAGAAGTCCGACTGTGCAGGAAGAGGGCTCGTTTAGTTGTCTCCTTCTGCTTCAGACGGTCCAATGTGATGTCCACACGAAAATCTGGGTGTGTGATTACAAACAAAATTTATTGGAGTGAAAGCTGCAGTTGCCCCTTTTTGACGATACAAAGAGGCAGATTTTACTCACTCAGAGTCTGTGGAGCTCCACTGCCAAAGGCAGCCAGACAGTACTTCACCTTAAAACTGAAAAACAAAGACAACTGTGAGACAAAATCCCAGAGCCTGATTCCTTCACTTCACACTGTCTGATAATATGAGCTCTGAATTTAAAATTACTGCAAAATTTCCCAACATTTGTATCTAAACACAAAGCTGTGACAGGAACCAGATAACGTGTGAAACTCTCACCATGACACAAACGTGTTGGTACTGGAAATCTGGCAGTTCTTCTCCTCCGGGTTGATGATTTGAGGGGTTATGTCTAGCGTAGCATTCACACCTATCACGGGACGAGATCTGACACACAAACACACACAAGTAAGACAACTCGACTCACAGCACCTGATGTCTGCAGCATCATTGTGGATCTTATATTTAATGAGGCTAAAGGCTGTGAATTAAACCATACAAAGTTTAAAGGAGTATAATGTGTATGTGGTTAAGGACAAACATGAAGTGTTTCGTGTCTTTCTTTTTAACGACTTAAACTAGCGGTAAACGCTTTACTCTTATTGTTATAGGAGTGATAACTTTCTGTTCTTAAGTCAAAAAATACTGAAGCAAATATAAATGTTGATGTTTTTAAAGACTAGGTTAGCGGGTCCTAATAACATCTATAAAGACAGTGGGGGTAAACTGAAAGAACAGCAGATCTTTGATATCAGAGGTGGCCTCACTCATTAAAGCTCTCAGCATCAGACACACACACACCGCAAAACCACACACACATGCACACGCACACACACACACACGCACACGCACACACACACACACG